TGATCTTTTTCAGTTGAAGTGTGTGTGCAAAGGGCAAAAACGAAAAAAAGTCGAGGGAGCAGATTTCATGAAGCATCTCGGAAAACCCTGTCCGCGCTGATGAGAGGGCGGGGATAATGGGGCGGGCTTGCGACAGTACCTAGTGTGGACTAGTTATCAACCACCTAATTGTAAGGGGTGTGTCCGATTTGATTTGAAAAGTGTCCGATTTGGTTTGAAAAGTGTCCGATTTAAAGTGAAAATGGTATAACTCGGATATTTGCCATTTATGGGCACATTCTGAGTAGCTATACCTCATGAGTCAGTGCTATTCAACTATTTCGATTTTCACGCACCATTGAACAAGATTGTTGCTGAACGTTGATCCTCATAGGCTATACAGTGGATCTGATTGCGAATTTAGTAACTTGTGTGGTGTCAATTATAGACAATTTGGGGCCACATCTTCTATGTACACCCATATAGGGAACGTTCAGCGCTATTCTGTCGCCAAATTGCGTGGACGCCAAGAATAGGTGTTATATTTGTGATCAGGGCCACTGATTACCACTAAAAACGAATTTTCGGTCAAAACAATTGTTTTGACCTTCTTGGGTTTGCTTATTGGGTTGTCCGGGGTCCGTAGCGTCAACGATACGTCATCGCTGTTACGAAGATGTGAGACTCCGCTCACACTGCCGACCAAATGGTCGGTCACCTACAACCCGAAAGTCAAAAAAATTTTTTTGCTCAAAACTTGCTCCTAGGGGTAATCGATAGTCCTGATCACGATTCTAGAATTAATTTTTGGCGCCAGTGTCATCTGGCACCAGCATAGCGCCGAAGAGCTGAGTCTGTGAATACTAACGAATTCGAACGAAAAAGCAGTTTTGCTCCATAAAAGTAGGATTGTTCAGTTTATCGTGAATGTTTTTGTTAGGACCAATTATTTAGACAAACATGGATCCAAAAAATGAAAAATTGTAGAAAAGCAAAATTTTGTCCTCGGTGGGATCCGAACCATCGACCTATTTTTTACGTTTTTTTTATTCGTAGAAGCGCGCAGCGAAAATGAACCTCAGTTTTCTGGTCCTCGTATGTGCCCCTACAATATGCACAAGACCATTTTGAAAAAGCTCACCACGCCCTGAACGACCTCCCTTGTAAGGTGTTCATCCCGGAGCTGTACTGTGCGACGAAGTTGGAACACATCCTCATTAAGGGCAGTTATCGCGATCAAGTGGTCCGCGAAATGCCTTCCGTGCATTTGGCATCGTTGTCCGCATTCGCAGAGAATATACCACTTTCGTCACTAACGGCGAGATAAAGAAGGCCAGAGACGCGTGATTATTGCAACAATTGCAACCACAATTGCTTTCACTCTACAAGACAACGGCTTACAAGCGGGACTGCGTGCGTACCAAGCGTTGCCTAGAGCGTCGTATGGTGATTTCCTCTGCTCTTGCCAGGAAGTGGTTGAACGTCGAATCCTGCTGATTGGGCTTGCCGACATCCGACAATCTCGTCGAAACCGTCGGCCCCACTACTAAGTAAGTCTCCGTTCCCATCTCCAAGAGTTCTTTTTTGGCTTCTTCCTCTACTGGGGAGTTACTTATGAGCTACTGGTTCATGATTGAGCACCTACTTATCGCAACACTTGTTCGCGGGAATTGTCTTTAACAAAGAGCGCTGTATGCTCACCATCTAGTACGATCGCTGCGTCCGAGGTGAACTGGACTGTAGAGTTGCCTTCTATCATTCATAAATGCACGGAAATGAGGTTGGATAGGGGCGATAAGTAATATTTTCTGTCTCCACCCATTGGTGATGCAGACAAAGCAGACACGCAACAGTCCACAGGACCGGGTGTACTCCCAACCTCAGATAAAATTACTACTTATTGTTAGCTGCACCCTTTCACCTTTGATTGGGGGCCGTTATTTCATACACCTGGCGGCACAGTCCGCCAGCTTGCCAATATGTTCGCTGCGGGTTACGTGACATCTTGAACTTTTGTGCATGGTCCTGTTACGAAACCCTGTGACGCAGACGGATAGAGGGCAGCGGCTGCCAAAGCATCGAAACGTGGAAGAACGTATGGCGAGCCAGGAAACGGGCTTTTTCAAGGGGAGGGGACTCCGGGGTGGGTGAGCTACTTATAATCGGTGAAAAGCTGGAACGTGCGAAGTCACAACGGCCATAGAGTGCCATGCGGACGAGAGAGTGCAGAGAAAAAGAGAAGATCGACGCGTTTAAAGGGATTGAGTTCAAGTTGTCCGTAGACCTTCGCTGCGGGACCATCGCATCGACGCATGCTGCATCTCGTGGATGGCGGGCACAGATATAAAAGAACATTCTGCTGTCATTACCTTCCAGTTTCATTGATTTCATTGAGGTGCACGCTCGCTTGAGAAAATTTTCACTCATCTACAAGTGCGAATCAGTTCATTTCGTCTAACATCTCGTGTAAGAGTACTACGTTTCTTTACAATTTCGACTTTCCGGCAAATCGGCGGTCTTCGGGGGTGAGAGAGACGGAGGCTTTGCAAGAACATAGGAACACGGCTGAAGTCGACACCTGAAGTCGTCGCTGAGGGGTCAATGGATTTTGTGGGTAATGAGTTATGGATGCCCCTTTTGTTTCTACTGTCCACACGGGTGTTGGGGCACTCGAGATGTAGCGTTCACCCGTTTACCGATAAATTGGCCGTGACAACTGAAGGGTCTTCCAAACCCCAGTACAGAGAAAAAAAATGTCGAAGTATTGAATGCTCTGGAACGGGAAAGAGCCTCACATTTGCTCCGCTTTTTGCTTGCTGATTTCCCGCGAGAAGTACGATTTTGGAAAAAATGAAGTCGAGATGGTTTCATGCTTACAGATTTTGATTGCAGAACTTCGGGTGTGTGTCAGGACTCACCGCCGCGCCCGAAACTAGGTCGCCGCGCTGGGAAGTGGGTCACCGCGCGCGGCGATTACATGCTTTAACATGTTTGCATGTTTGAACATGTCTACCTGTTCTGGACATGTTCTTGGCAGATGGAAGATGAGGAAAAGAGAGAACGCTACAAGCAAATGGCGATAGGGTCATATTGATCGGAAGTTGGCAAAATGCCAGGTCAGGACTCACCGCCGCGCCACGCGAACAGGTCGCCGCGCGCGGTGACCTAGTTTCGAGCGCGGCGGTGACTCCTGGCCGTCTCCCCAGAACTTCTACTATGCCAGTAATCCCTGTGCTTGGAATCGGAAGGCACATGGAAAAAATTGTGCAGTATGTATGCAGTGTGTAAAGTCTTCCGTTGCTTAACGCGCTTCAGGCATTTTCTGATGCCCCAATGATAGCCGCGTCGCGAAAGCACGCCCTCCTGTTGTGTACGTTTCTGTTTTGCAGGAACCATGGAGAACTCGGACCATTCCTTAGAGATGGTTCTCCTCGAGGACGAACAATTTTTCATGGAGGGCAATTGTTCCGATCCCATTGTTTTGAAACATGTTAGAGAAATAGCAGTTGATGGTCGTTCGGCAACACCTTGGTTGTCTGTTAAAGAGAAAATACCAGCTAGGATCGAGGTAACGGACTTTTTTTTACTTTCACGCAGTTGCTTTATGTGACACTGTAATTGCAGTACTGCGTCAGAATTGTGGAGAACTACCAGAAACGTTGCTTAGGTGGAGAGATCGACTTGAGTAGCGGTACCGAGGGGAGAGCTTTGCTGGATATGATCATCAACAAAGTCCTTTCGTTCGATGATGCCCCTTTCACGTGGCGAAGGTATGTGTTTTCACTCTGACGCATTATTTACAAAGTAGCCAAATGGTGAATTGGATTTTTGAAGGTTTTGTGAACTATTGTACGATCCCTTGAGGAATTACTCGAACGCTATGAAGTATCTTCGTGCTTTGTGCAAAGTGATCGATGTGCAGATGACAGTTAAAGAAAGCCAGAACCTTCGACGCCTTCAACCAGAGCCCTTTCAATCCTTCACCCCTGTTCGATTGTTTTTCGACGAGGTTTGTATGACAGCACTTGTTACAACTCCATCCATCATCATTGCGAAATACTTCTCTCATAAAAATGCTTTCCAGAGCAACGTGAAAAGCACTGATCGAAAAAGAGTTAGCGAAGACGTGGAAGAGGCAAAGAAACGCTTAAAACTGAACGTAGAGGAGGATAAAGAGAACGATAATATCCAGTCTGGTGGGGATCACTAGGCGCAAAACTGTGGGTTTGAGCCGTATTCTAACTTTTCTGTATAGATTGTTAATGTGGAGTTAAATATAACACACTTGTCGACCGTAAGATCTTGCCACTGTGTAGTTCATATGAATCTCGAAAGGGAAATGAAGCAAAAGTGGTATGGGGTGTCAGGCGACCATGTCACGTCATGTCTGCTTGTCTGCGCCTCTCATAAAGTAGTAACATGGCGCGTACTCCCGTTTTAAGGCTTGAACGGGTAAAAGAGAGGGATATCTCTCAATTTGGTGGGAATTAGTAGGTATGTAAAGGTGTGAGTTTGACTCGGTAGTTTTGTTTTTCTCTATAGATTTTTGACCTGGAGCTTGAAGAGAACACGTGTCGACCATAAGATCTTGCTCCTAGGGGATTCGTATGAATATGGGGAGAAATGAAGCAAAAGTGGTTTGCGGGTGTCAGGCGGCGGTGCGATATACTACGTATTGTAGAAAGCTTGAAGCGGGAACACGGTCTTGTTCGCTCAAATGCTGGGGCGTTCCAGGGCGAGAGGGGGGGGGGGCAGGGTTAAGCGCGGCCCCAACTTCTCCACCGATTGTTCAAGCGAGCATACGACAATAATTCGTGGAAAACGGGCGCCGTGTGAAACCCAACCCCCTGACATGTCCCGGCATCCGCGGCTAACAAGTCTATATGTGTTGGTACCTGCTCGATGAGAGAGGCAGACAAGAAGATATGACGCGGCATTGTCACGTAGTCGCCTGGTACGACCGAACCAGCTTTGCCCCAGGTTACAAACCTCTCCTTTACCGGTTAC